CTCAATGAATATCAATAATACAGAAATACACCGCTAATCCTGTTTGCACAGCACTTATTCAAATTCACACCACTTTTCCACGTCAGTCCATTATGTAGCTATGTGTCTCAAGAACAACATGTCCCATCCGCCGCTGTCTGCCGAGCTCAACTCAGGCTAGAAGTGTTTTGAAAATGGGGGTGGGGGAGGGGAGGGGGATGAGAGATAAATTGGTACAGCGAGCTGGAATGCTGCAGCAGTTATTTAAGGCCCTGTAGGTGCTGCCTAGGCCATATGCTCCCATTATTCCGCTTGGTAGGGGCTCATGTGGGCATATGAGCAAGGGCTGGAGAGAGGAGGAGGGTGGGAGAAAAAGAGAAATAGTGGGGGGGGGGGTGATGGAGGTAAGTGAAGGGAGAAAGTAATAGCTGAGGAATTATTTTAAGGAGAGCCCCCCTCCTATCAAGCGTAGAAGGACTTTTAAGAACGGGATACCTGGAGAAGCCTGAGAGGAGATGAGAACGAATTAGCTCCCAAAGTAAATGATCGCCTTCACCCTCAATATCCGGCTCTCTCGCCACCGTTGTCTTTGCATAATTCATCACGTCAAGTTTTGAGGTGTGACGGAGTATAATTCATGAACTCCTGAACTTTTCAGGTTGATCGCTTTTTCTTTATAGGTTAGGCCTCCTCAATCATTTTGGAGCTAGAGAAGATAAGATTCTGTACGTCATACCTCGTCTTTTGTTTCGATGAGTATTCACAAAATGAAGACTCAATGGTGTGTTGTAGAGACATGTTTTGTTGGCCATTATTGTACATTGAGTTTTGCGTACCATGAGCGGGACAAATACAAATGAAATGAAAGACAGATCTCCACAACTTAATGCAACTTATTTTAATATGTGTCTAGGATCAATTAGGATCAGGTTGATATCAGGTTCATGGTGAAAATAACACTTCAGTTTCAGCTGTTATCTAAGACTCCTGCAGATGGCTTAATATCTGTGTTAAAAAAAACAAGGCCCAGATGCAGCTTTGTTATTTGCCTCATATCTCTTTCTCTTTTGTTTCCCCCTCTCTTCTTCTCCCTATCTGTACCATCTCTTGTCAGACTGAGGCCTGTGTTCCTGATCAGGGCATTGCTCTCATGTTAGCCGCTTCACGGGAAGCACATCCCAGCATTCCTTCTGACACGCCGGCAGCAGCATTACCATAATTGGCTTTTCTACATGACGGGACAGAGGAAATAATAATGTCATTTTATTTACAGCCCTCTTGTCCCGGTCCGAGAGCTATCACCCCCCCCCTCCCGTATTTTTCCCTCCTCCTACATCCTCCGCTCCCTCCTGCCACCACACTCTTTCTCCTCTCCGCACATAATGCTGACATACACCCCTCCCTCAGCCTCCCCCCCCCACCATCTCGTCTATCTCATCTCCCTCTCTCCCACTCTGCCTGTGCAGGGCGCGAGTCTCGTTCTGCCACGGCGTGTAGGTCAAGCGATGGCTTTTTGATCAGCTCCTGTCCAAAGCCATCAGGGTTGAGAGGCACGTAATGGAGAGCGGGGTGACAAACAGAATCTGGGGAAGGAATAAGACTGCCAGTTTCCTATTAGGGGCCGGCCTAAACGGCCTCCCACCCCTGCACCACCACCACACACACCCCACCATTCTCTGCTGCGAACACACTCCTACACTGCTTAAATCACATGAGTGAAGGGGCCCGTGATTGGACATTAGTGCCGCAAATGACTGCCGTGATTGCCCCCTCTTCTCAAACTCACATCAAATAAATAAAGAAATGTGTGTAAATAAATAGAAGGAGGGGTGTTGGAGAAATGGGGCTGGTGTTGGGGGGCAAGCTGACTGGTCTCATCCCCTTCTTTTCCCCCTCTCTCTCATTTTATCGCCTCTCTGCCTTTCTTATCTGGTTTGTTTGGCTTTGACATCAGCCAAATAGTGAGGCTCCGCGTGCCTGACAGAGAGTTTTATTGATGTAACAACCAGCAGACTCTCAGCAAAGCAAAGTGTGAAGACAAAAAAACAGAACAAAAATTAGCAGGGCGGAGACAGATAGCAAAGTTTTGAAACGGAGTGATATGTTTCTGCTTCGATCCTTACCAAAGACTGACGTGTCCGAGGGTCGTGTTTCATTTGGTGCCGTTTACAAGAATCAAGTTGAGCCGCGTGTCAGCGAGGGAGAATGTTTTCGAGATGATCTGCGCTTAGGGTCGATCATATTGTCCCAAAGTGAGTCCCAGTGTTGTGTTGAGGCTGGGCGTTCACCACAGGCTTTTCATCAGAAAAACACAATATCAAAGGGGCAATTGGATTTACTTAGCCATGGTCTGATCTCTGAGAACTCAACAAACCTGATTGAAATCTTTAATGACATCTAGCATTCTTTAATCTTTACATATAGGGTACAAATCAGAATCAAGGGTGCTTCATGCGCACTAAGTCCATCAATGACATTCTTTTAGAAAAAACAGATACACACTTAATATGTGTATGTAAATGTCAATCAATGTTTGCATAATACATATTTTAAAAGGCTCTTCAACACATCCAAAGGGGATCCTAGAAACCCTTCTCCCACTTAACATATTTTGGTTCCCTATTTGTTAACAGTTTAACCATATGTGTAGGCATTGGGAGATCAGTGATACAGTTGGATGCTAATTCCTGCTTCCTCGGTGTGTGTTGTTGGTGATCTGGCGTGGCTGGTGGCGGGCTTGATCGCTGCTGCTTCTGACAGAGAGTCTGCAGTGCTATCCTGGCCACGCTGCCGCCTGTCTCCTTGATGGCGGCACGTCCCCGAGCAAAAGTGACAGGCGCTTTGGCGCCCGTGCAGATGGCCCTGCTCACAGCCATCACCCACTCGGCAAACCAAACCACCAGGGACGGTGCGCCAGCCCTGCCCCTTCCCCGAGCCCGCCCCTTGCTGCTGGTGTTGCTCCGCATATGCGTGTCCAGGACGGGAGAAGGGGGCTTAATCTGGCCGCCACTCAGAATCACACATCTTCAAGTTGCACTGATTGAACCAAATATTTCCCCCTTCCTCACGCTTCAGATTTGAGCATCATGTCAGGATAGATGCGGCGTCTCAAACAAGATGATAATTTATTTCAGGCTCACGTTTCATCACTAACGTTTTACATTTATGGTTTGCGAAACAGTCCACTTGCTGCCTGGGATTTTTACAGATGTCGGTCTCTGCCAGTCTTTTGTCTGTGTGCTTTTGATATCTCCCTCTTTGTTGTTTCCATGACAACATGGCAGGACAGGCATTGATTGACAGGGATCGTCAAAGGGTTCCCTGGCGACCTGCTCATTGTTCGTAGCCCCTCCCTGCTGCAGTCTGTGTTTTGTCACTCACCCAGTGATATTTCTGATCTGCTGCTTCTCATTCCTGCTGTCTCCCTGTGTGTGTGTGTGTGGTGTGTGTGTGTGTGTGTGTGTGTGTGTGTGTGTGTGTGTGTGTGTGTGTGTGTGTGTGTGTGTGTGTGTGTGTGTGTGTGTGTGTGTGTGTGTGTGGTGTGTGTGTGTGTGGTGGGTGTGTGTGTGTGTGTGTGTGTGTGTGTGTGTGTGTGTGTGTGTGTGTGTGTGTGTGGTGTGTGTGTGTGTGTGTGTGTGTGTGTGTGTGTGTGTGTGTGTGTGTGGTGTGTGTGTGTGTGTACTAAGCACTGCCAACTATTGGGGTTTAGCTATTTTTTGGCTGTAGCCGTTGTGACTGACTCACTGAGGTAATTCCTACTGTATGTTTGCACTGTTCGTGTGGGCTTGTGAAGAATGGATAGCCGTTCTGCAGGATGCTTTGTATATTAAATGGCTGATATGTATTGATAGCCTCCTTTACTAGAAGCGGGTTAGCTAGGGGGGGAAGGCACTGTAACAGAAGCCACTCTGCAGATGTGTTGTAGAGTGTACAGCACATAATGCTAATCTGCTGTGTTAGGGATTTTAAGGAGTTTTAGAAACTGTCTCGGTCTCCGTCTGTCAGTGGGATTGAAGCGCAGCCAGGTTCTCCTGTAGTGCTCTCATTTCACTGAAATCCTGTCAGGCGTTAGGGGAGTGTGTTGCTCATTTGGAGAAGGGGTGTATCAGTAGCACACAGCAGACTTATAGGCAATATTATGGTCTGTTCGTTCAGGTTTTTCGCACCGTAAGAGAAAACATGTATGAGCAGTACATTACATAGGCATTGGGAGGTGAGCATGCGGGCAAACGCCATCCGCAAAATAGGCACTCACATCACCACGCAGTCACAGTCGATGGTGCAGCTGCTCACCTCCTCCTCTCCTCTCAGGCAGCAGTAAATGTTGCCAGTGTATATATATCAGGTATTATGTCCACTTAGATTATTATATGACAGGTTAGCGTGCCGTTTGAAGCTGACAGCACATCTGTTTCATCAGGAGAGACTGATACTGGCATCTAGGACACACATCTCACCATGCAGGAAGGAGATAAAGGAAGAAGCTAGGGGGCCGTCTTTCCTGTCTCTCTGCCTCCCTCACCCTCTCTCTCGTCTTGCTCCCTTTTCTCTTGAAATCCCCTCTCCCCGCCCACCAAACCCAACACCTCCTGCTCACTTTTTCTTTCTCCCCCACATTTACTTTTCATTCACTTGTTCTCCCCCTAATCACCTCCTGTCTCTCCTACTTACTGATGCTTGCTGTGCATTTGCTAGCATGCAAACACACACACATACACACACATGGTGTAGCCTTCTATCTTATTTGCCTATTTCACTGGTAAACTTGTTACATCTCAGCCTTGTTTATTTCCCTTTCCTCTTTTAATCTGTCTTTTTGTAAAGCATTTGTAGCATTTTTCAAAACACCCCAGACTCCTTTCTTCAGCAATCATTGTTGCATTCAGAATCTAAGTACCATTGTTTTGTTAGTTCCTGCTTATTAGCTCAAATAAAAATGACCTTCAGCTAATCATAGTGGGATAGTAAAAAAGCTGCGATATCTCCAAATGAGTGTTTTGTTTCTTTCCCTCTCCGATCAGTTGTGTAACGTGATATTGTGAGGAACTGAACTCCACTGACGAGATGAGTGAAAGGTAATAAAGCTTTTGGAAGAGAGAAAGAAAGAGAAATGGGGGAGTTAAACATGCAAGCATGCAGCTGGCTAACAAGGCCAAACAGCCAGTCATTTCCGGGGGAACATGAGGCATGTGTGGAGGAATAGGGAGTTGGGAAGGAAAAGGACAACTGTCAGAAGCTCAGTGATTTATTTTTCCCTTGGAGGCTTTTTTCACCACTGGCTTTCAGAGCCACATGTGTGTGAAATACACACAAATTCATGCATGCATGCATACACACACTAACATTCAATGAGAGTTAAAGCCTACATTTCCCCTCTTTGAGTATTCACCCCGTGTTATTTTGATAGTGGTCCTGTTGGCGTGCTGTAAATCTTTTATTTCATTGAGCTGACCTATTTTTTCCTCTCTTCTTTTCTTTCTTTTCTGTCTTTCTTTCCAGCGTACGCGCCCGAAGACGAGAATAAGCCAGGCGAACACAATGAAGAAGAGCACCTGCAGGATGACGGCCTCTCATTAGACGGCCAGGACAATGAGTTTCTGTGCAACGAGGAAGAAGAAGATGTGGATGGAGGCCAGCCACCTAGCTACAGAGACTCTCCGCTCAGCAATGGCACTAACCCTGATGCTGGATATGGGTCCCCGCTCAGCGACACCAGCGACCGGCTGACAGACTTTAAGAGCACCTCATCCAGGGACGGTCAGGAGAGGGAAGGCACGACTTTACCCTTCCGTCCCGACAACGGCCTGTCTTTCCAGGATAGCCTGGCACAGATGAAAGCCGTCTATGCAAACCTCATCTCAGATGCCTCTTGGTCTAGCATCACAATGGACTTAATGAAATCTAAGCCTGCTGCAGCCGGCAGTGTCAATAGTGCCATCACTACTCCGGAACCTGCCCCTACTGCTTCTGTCTCCTTAACCACGACCACAAACAAGAGCAGCGGGGTCAACATGACTAGCAGTCACCATAATGGCAGGAGCTCCAACGCTACTGTGAACCACACAGGCAGCGCAAGTGGCAATACTAATGGCACAGCGTCTAGCTCTGTTAGCAGCAACAGTGCAAACAGTGGTGGGGCAAGCAATGGTAGCGGTGTGGCCTATGACTGGCACCAGGCAGCGCTTGCCAAAACTTTTCAACAGAACCCCTACCACCTTTTGCCAGAGCCCAGCCTCTTCAGCACAGTGCAGCTCTACCGGCAGAACAACAAACTGTATGGTTCTGTTTTCACTGGTGCAAGCAAGTTCCGTTGCAAAGACTGCAGCGGTGCCTATGACACACTGGTGGGTTTAACAGTCCACATGAATGAGACGGGCCACTATCGAGATGACAACAAGGACAAAGAGGAGGATCAGGGAAAGCGCTGGTCCAAACCACGTAAGCGCTCCCTGATGGAGATGGAGGGAAAAGAAGATGCTCAAAAGGTGCTGAAGTGCATGTACTGTGGCCACTCGTTTGAGTCTCTTCAAGATCTCAGTGTTCATATGATCAAGACCAAGCATTACCAGAAAGTGCCTCTCAAAGAACCGATGCCAGCCTTGGCCACAAAGCTGATGTCTTCTTCAGCTAAAAAACGAGCTCTCCATGATGCTATAGTGTCCCCATGCTCGCCAGACTCTATCCATGCTAGTAGTGTTGGTGGTGGTAGTGCATCTCTTGGGGATGTTGGCACAAAATCTGCAGGTAACCCCTACGTTACGCCAAACAACCGCTATGGCTACCAGAATGGTGCCAGCTACACATGGCAGTTCGAAGCTCGTAAAGCCCAGATCCTCAAATGCATGGAGTGCGGGAGCTCTCATGATACACTCCAACAGCTGACTGCCCACATGATGGTTACTGGTCACTTTTTGAAGGTTACAAACTCTGCATCCAAAAAGGGCAAACAGCTGGTTTTTGATCCGGTGGTGGAAGAGAAGATTCAGTCTATCCCACTGCCACCGACCACCACCAGACTCCCTGTTCCCAGTGGGGTAAAGTCCCAGCCAGTGTCCCCTGCCCTCTCTACATGCTCAGAGGAAAAGAGAGAAAGAGGCGAGGATGAAAGGTCTGAAGGTGTGGAGCCAATGGAGAGAAAAATCAAGGAGGAGAGAGATGACTCGGTTGAGAAATCTAACAATGACGGCACATCTTATAAATACCTTAGAGAAGAAGATCTAGAGGAGGCGCCAAAAGGGGGTTTAGATATTCTTAAATCCCTTGAGAACACAGTATCCAGTGCCATCAGCAAGGCCCAGACAGGCACGCCCACATGGGGGGGCTACCCTAGCATTCATGCTGCATACCAGCTGCATGGCATGAAGAACTCTTCTACCATTCTACCCCCAATGGTCCAGAGTATGCAGATGCAGCCAATGTTCGCAGGTGGGCTACGAGGCCTTGTGATTAACCCAAACTCAATCATCCACTCGCCTCGGAGCCCTTCCTCCCCTACCCCCCTCAGGAGCAATGTCAGTGCCATGGAGGAGCTTGTAGAAAAAGTGACAGGGAAAGCTTCCAATGTGAAGAAGGAAAAGGAGGAGAAGATGGTGAGCATTGAACGATGCCGGCCCCCATCGTTAGTAAAATCCCCCTCTCCTGCACTGAGAGAGCAGAGAGAACAATTAACATCTCCAAATGACCTATCTGTAGGTAAACCATCGGGTATGAGAAGTAGCAGCCCAGGCAGTGTAGACTCAGAGCTCATCTGCAAGAAGGAGCCCAAAGAGAGCCTAGTCGACGGCCACAACAACCATTCGAAGAATGGCTCAGAGATGTGCCAATCCCCAATAACTAATGGCAACTGTCTTGGCATCATCACCAATCACTCACTGGAAAGTCCCTTCATCAACCCTCTCAGTGCACTCCAGTCAATCATGAACACACACCTGGGTAAAGCCTCCAAACCAGTAAGCCCAGCTGGAGACCCACTATCTATGCTTTACAAAATCAGCAACAGCTTGATGGATAAGCCAGCGTTCAAAACAACTCCTCAGGGCAAACCCACTGAGCCCATCAACCACTATCCGCTGTATGAGAGCAGTGACCAGCCCATTGACCTGAGTAAAAGTAAGGCCACCATTAACAGCAACAATAACAACAACAACAACAACAACAGCAGCAGCGGGCTCTTGACCAACAGTAGTGTAAATGGTAACAAACCCCTAATTTCCCTCCCTGACTCAGTCTCCTCTCCTCTGAGAGAGAATGCTCTGATGGACATTTCCGACATGGTAAAGAACCTCACAGGGAGACTGACGCCCAAATCTTCAACCCCTTCCTCCATCTCAGAGAAGTCAGATGCAGACTGCAGTGCTTTTGAGGACGCCCTAGAGGACCTCTCCCCAGTGCAGAAGAGGAAAGGAAGGCAATCCAACTGGAATCCCCAGCACCTCCTCATCCTCCAGGCACAGTTTGTGTCCAGCCTAAGGGAGACCTCAGAGGGCCGCTTCGCCATGACTGACCTAGGCCCTCAGGAAAGGGTCCACATCTGTAAGTTCACAGGCCTCTCCATGACCACCATATCCCATTGGCTGGCTAACGTCAAGTACCAGCTGAGACGGACTGGGGGCACCAAGTTTCTCAAGAACATGGATTCATGCCAGCCTGTGTTCCTCTGTGGTGACTGTGCCTCCCAGTACAGGACTCCCTCCGCCTACATCGGCCACCTGGAGTCTCACCTGGGCTTCAGCTTGAAGGACCTGTCCAAACTGTCAACGGAGCACCTTCGAGAGCAGCAGGCTGCCTCAAAGGTGATCACAGACAAAATGACATTCGGCAGGCCCCTGTCAGCATTGACCACGGCAGAGGACGACACAAGCTCCGTGTATCAGTGCAGACTTTGCAATCGGACATTCGTCAGCAAACACGCAGTCAAACTGCATCTCAGCAAGACCCACGGCAAGTCTCCAGAGGACCACCTGGTGTTTGTCACTGCTTTGGAGAAACTGGAGAAGATGTAGAAAGTTTAAGCGGGGTCTTGTGCTGAGAGCAGTAGACACTGACAGCTGTGGAACTGACTAGAATTTCATTGCACTAAAATGACTTTATTCACAGTTACTGCACTGGGCCGAACTGAGCCGCCAGAAAGATATCGATCTTATTTTTTTTTTTTTTGTGATAACTGCCTGACTGGACCATGTCTTTTCATGTTGATTTGTTTTTGTTTTGCCAAGCTTTTTTTACACTTATTTTGTAATATATTTATATGCTATTTGTCTGATCTGTGCATGTATTTTAGTGAATCAAGGTTAAATACAAGATTTTAATCTTTTCATGGCAAAAATACAACTACTGCTTCAATTGTAAAAGTGGTGAGCGGAAAGAGAATTTGTGGAAGAGAAAACTGTATAATACTTGATATGAAGAAGGTGAAAATTAAATGTATACACCAAAAGAATGAAAGAATACCCGGAGAGACTGAAGTAGCACCTTAGACAGTTGAAATTTGAATTTGTAAAGAGAACACGTTTTGAAATATCTTGCATTTGTCAAAATCAGATTGATTTAAAAAAGATCAAGGATTATCATTTCCTTCCCCTCTCCTTTTTGGTTCCTGTCACTGCAATGTTTCTGATGATGAATGGCCTGCTCATAAATCTGTCAGTGTATTAGAAAAAGATCATGTGAACCTTTGGAAAAACTGAAATGCTGCTTCTGGTTACGAGTCAATCAGTGAAAAATGAATGGCCGTCAGTATGCAAGATTGCTCAAAAAACTTTTCCTTGTTGTGAAGTATCACCCTATAGCAATTTTCCAGTTGTATGGTTTGTTACAACATTCTCTTTCTAAATTGTGTCACTCTATTCAACTGTAAAGAGAACAGTCCGTTACATGTAGATGATTACTAGTGAAATGTCAGTACTCCGTAAGACATATCTTACCATTTGAAAACGGCTCAACATTCTTTGTATCTTAAGGTGTGTGCATTCTCTAACTTTTATATTGTCATTTTATATACAAAAATGATAAAAAAATAAAAACAGATGGTGTATATAGATATATGCTGTAGAGCTACAAAATGTCCTTTTTTAAAGAAAAATACAAATGTAGCTTCTTTGGCTTGGTTTACAGACATGATTTTAATTATACTTGCATCCAATTTGATGCATGAAAATGGTGTGGAAAATAAATAAGCGATGCACAATGACTATACATTTCAATGTTTTATCGACAATATTGTAAAAAAAAAAACTTTTTAGCACCGATTAGTTTGTTTCATTTCTTTCTCAATTGTAAAATAAACCTCAAAGCAGTTGTTAACAGTCATGCATTTGTTGTTGTGTGTTTATTTGTCTTTGCGGTGCACCAGACTCAGATCAAACACATGTATCCATTTATAATCTTAACGCACTGCAAACTGTTTATTTAATTTTTTTATATACTCAAAGTATGCATTGCAATACCATACATACCTTGTGTTCTGCAAAAGGCCTTCTTTTATATAATATATTAAGAGAAAGAGGAAAAGTCAGTGGTGACATACTTTCAACTGATGACTGATCACTTTATACTGCCAATGATTATTATAATGATGAAGATGACGGGGGTGATAAGCCTGTAAGGGTGCCTGTTGTGGCAGGAAACTCATGCTAGGCTTGTGACTGGCCTTCGGAGAGCCCTTTCTGAAAGAATCAGTGTTATATTAATGACGGAGATGTATTTTTTGCCTGTCTTCTTGGAACAAAATCAGAAGGGTGTCTGTTCTGCTTGATAAACACTCCTGACTGGCCACATTGAACCCATTAGTTAACACCGGTTTTCGTTTGACCAAAGAACAAGGAGCTGTCTTTTTCTCTTATTGGCTTAAAAAAATATAGTGATTTTTATGGCACTTATGACACACAACAAGTAATGACCTTACATTGCTTGCATCATTCATCAGAGCACCATTGGAATAATTACATGTGCAGTAAATAGCACATTTACAACACGCCTATCTATTTTTTTAGGGTTATTTCCACAGGATAAAGGGTCACTTTTGCATTGGTGTATTGGTTAAACCTTTTGATTCCCACAGCAACTGTGTGGTTGTGTCCATACAAAATGTAATTTAGTGCAGAATGCCATTGCCATTATTTTCTTCTAAATGTTTGCCTAGTTAATTGCAGACAGAATGTTAGAACACGTTTTTTTATTGTCTGTTTTACACACTGGCCACAGCTTATTTTCACCACTTGCTCTGCTCTGTTTGCCGTTGTAGTTTCTCATGTTTCATGTCTGACTTTATTCAATACCACATCCTAAGCGTTTAGCTTTACTGAGAGCTGAAAGTGAATCGTTGTGTACACTGACCTCTAGATGACCCACAGCAGGTTGTGGGGTTTTCTTCCTCAGGCAGCCCTGCAGGTAAAGAGTCTGCTTCATGATTTTGATCTCTCATATCGTGATCATGTCTCAACTTTCTGATAGAGTACTTATAGTGCCAGCCTTTGTACGAATGAAGGGACGCCATGCTGCAGTGTTATGACTTCCATTCCCTGACTCTCACAACATGCCTCGTGTCGGCTGAGTCAGTCACACACACACTCACTCTCTCCCGGCTACATTAGCGCGAGTGTCTTTGTGCAATTACACACCTCCTCGATCTGGCTGCACCTCGCTGTGTTGATACATGGATTCAGTGACAAAGGAAACACAGGCAGAGGGCAGATTAGCCCCGGCTGAAGATGCAGCTTCCACTGAAAAAGGGTCCGCTAGAGTTGGGTTATAAAACAAACAAGGCAGATAAACACGCAACATTTGGAAGGGATAGCGTTCCCTGCACACCAGAAATAAAAAAACACCTTGTAGGTTTAATACCCCACAGCTAAACCTGTAATTTTGCTGTGCCGTCAGATAGCTGCTGAGCCGATAGAGACTCTTCCCTGCTTTGTTAGAGATCAGTGCACTGTTTCCTGTGCGTATTCTATGTAAATTACATGCGATAATCGCCACGCACGGCACAATGCTGGTTCCCGTGGTGCAAACGGAAACCGAGGGTAGATAAACGCAGGCTGGGCAGATTTGCATAGCCTTTGTGTTTTGGGCGCCGCTGAACGTGAGCCCTGAGGATTGGTAGGGATTTCCTCAAGGTTTTGTATAAGTAAATGCCTGCTTCCTCTCAGGGCTGGGACCATTATGTACAGCAGACAGGGGTGGGTGTAGACAGAGGGCACAAACGGAATAACAAAATTACCTGGGCTGGTGGGAACACGGGGAGGGAGTATTAACCTGCATAACTCGTCTGCCTCTGACGAGATAGAACAGGGATACATTGGTGTTCACATTGCAGATGTTACATCAAGTATACTGTGTCATGCGTTAGAGACAATGATAGAGAGGTGTCACTCTATGGTTAGGAGATCACAGAGAAGTTAAATAAGGGAAGCAATGTGGTGCTTTTGATGTTTCCTCAGAAGTTCAGCTAAAGCTCCAAGGTGTGTCATTACCTCCGATATATGTACGCTCAGTGGGAACACACCTGTGGTTTCCTGACAAGTCTTTTGTTTGGCTTCATAGGTTCGTGGTGCTTGCTCCTGGTTTGTATAGCAGCATGAAGATCATTGTCAGCCATAAACAAAGACAAAGCGCCTGCTGAGGATCACGGTGCGTATGTCTGCCGTCTATAAAACCTTCAACTTTGCACACAACTCCGACGTATTGGTTTAATACCCTTCCAAAATATCTCAAAACCAAACAAACAATGTCTTGACAGAGAATCGACAAACAAAGCGACGACGACTGAGAGCCTTTGCACTGGATCAGGGACTAAAGTCGCAGGAATCTGTTTGGATCCTGATAAAGCGCCTCATTGTGGCAATTGCATTCGGGAAGAAGTTATCAGTATTCACGTTTCGCACGAGATACCTGCCTCGGCCTATTTTTATGTTGATTTGAGTCAGTTTGTGGACTTGATTCAATTATGTTGAGTACTATATAATGTGCAGGATCTGTGACAGTTCTACTTTCCATACGTGCACAAACCAAGTTGTTGTGTTTAGTACATGAATAAAAGGTGTTGTTTGTGTCACACTTAAAAATACTGAAACTTCTACGATTTATTCTTATTTTCTTATAACACCAGAACTATGTTTTGTAACTAAAAGCCTTTGCACACCAAGTCAACACACTCTCACTCCATAATCGTCCAGGAGCGACGTTTGGTCAGGGTCCCGTGGCGTGCAGTTGTGACGCTCCTAGGCTCCTTCAGCTTCATAAAGGGACGCAAATAGCTTTCAACTGATTTCAATGTAATCCCATCTACGGCGGGATTTGACGCTCATGGAAGCACGGCATTCGTTTGTGTCGGCTGCCCTTAAAGGCAATGTGAGCGTCCATTCTCATTGGATAACGGAGAATTGTACACCCGGAAGTAAATACTCCCCTTACTGTCGATTGATTTTACAGTGATATCTGCACTACTCATCGACTTAAAAACACCAGATTATCCTTGTTAATTACACAACATTGATTTGTTTAAATTGTGTGGAATGCTTTTGTATTTTTCCCCTTCGATTCGGAGAAACAAATGTTTTTTCGGAGTAAAGGATAGCAGAAGACACTACACTACCCAGAATCCCCAGCTCTCGTTTAGGACTACACCATGTGCTCTGTTTGACACAATTATCCGTTATCCAATGGGAATGGACGCTCACATTGCCTTTAAGGGCAGGCAACAGAAACGAATGCCGTGCTTCCATGAGCGTTAAATCCCGCCGCAGATGGGAATACATTGCAATCAGTTGAAAGCTGAAGGAGCCTAGGAGCGTCACAACTGCACGCCACGGGACCCTGACCAAACGGCACTCCTGGACGATTATGGAGTGAGAGTGTGTTGACCAAGTCGTCAAAAACGTCTCTCAATATATTGTACAAAGGTGTTGACACGTGAGGTCATTTTTATGGCCTCACTGTCAACCCCTTTGTTCGTCATTTAAGTCTTACATTTCCTGTGATTCTTTCGCATCCGTTTAACTCATTAAGTGTGTGTGTTTGTCCTTACCTTAGACATACTGGCAGCTGGAAACCATTGTGAACGGCTTTATCCACAGATAAAACATAACATGTTCTCGACGCCACTTCACATTGCAGAATTCTGAAACAAATACAAAAAGTACACGAATCAGCCCCATTCCCCAGTGTACAAGATGTTTGTGCAAAAGAATGTTTTAATTAGATAAAGGATTAAAAAAAAAACACATATCAAAAACATGGGCTTGGTTTTAAAAAGCCTGAACACTTTTTTTAGGAATTTAGGGTACAGGCAAAATATGTGTTTATCAAAGGTTTCCTAGAATTTATATAAGTTTGTCTGCTAAAGTTAAAAAAAATTATAATAAAATGTAGTATTTTTATTACTACATTTTATTATAATTTTTTACAGTTTCGAAGAGTTAAACGGAATACTTTTATGGTCACTTATAAAACATTCAAATGTTTCAGATTTAAAGGACCTTTAAATTCTATAACTTACAGGTCCTAATATTGAGCAAGACATTAGCTTTAACGGTTACCTGATCAGGCATACTAAAGACAGCACATATTTCATTGATGAAAAATATATCGAATTTAATAACGTGATCAATCTATGGGTCTTATTTGGATTCAGATGCTTTGGAAAATCTTTTTAGGTTTTACAAGATGGAATTTTTAAAATGAGGATTCTAATCCTACATTCCACGCGCTACACTACTCAGTGTAACTGAGAGTGCAGCTCTCCAGCTGGTGTCAGCTGCAGTGGATTTGTATTTTTTTGATGGACACGCGGCAGTCTTTCATCAAGGTGGGTTCATTTTGCGGTGGGAGGGTGTATGTGACCGAGTTGTCTTTGGAGAATGATGGTGTTTGACAGCGGCAGGCTAACGGATGTATGAGATCATCTCAGTCTGCCAAGCCTTTAGCTATGATGTGGTGGTGGATGAGAACTGCAGGTGTGTGTGTCGCCAGGCCCCTTCATCCATCACACGCCCGGACAAAACACAAAGAATACTGGGGATGAAATGTTTCCTCCATCTTGGTCGGATGAGGGATGTGGTTTAACAAAACAAGATGTGATAGCTATCCATTCTCTCCTTACAATGCACTATAATCATTTTTCGTTTATCCTTTCTTTCTGAACAGTTGTTTGTTCTTTTTTTTTTACTTGCATTTAGACACATACTAAGTCATATACTGTTGAGATAAATACTTAATCTCTTAGATTCCGACATGATGACCACTTTAAATATATATGCTACATGTCTTCTGTGCACACCTCTCCCTTTGTATAATCCATCTCTATTTGCGTG